AGGGGAGCATATTGGGACCTTTTCTATTTAATTTATATATTAATGATATCGTTAACGTAAATAAGCACGCAAAATCCGTGATCTACGCGGATGATACGAGCGTATTTTTTTCTTCCGATACTTGCGACGATTTAATCGATATGGCAAATTTGACCTTATCAAAGATAAAAAGTTGGGAAGATAGCAACTCCTTGAAAATCAATATTCATAAAACAAAAGCTGTGATTTTTCGTCCAAAAAACAAGCCTGTGGTGCTGTCTAAAGTGCTCACTTTTAGCTCTACTCCAATCGAAATTGTTAGTTGTTTTAAAACTCTTGGAGTCATTTTTAGTGAGGGTATGTCTTGGGATAACCATATAAATTATCTTATCCCAAAGTTAGCTCGAGTAGTGGGTATTATAAATCGATACAGATCTGTGTTACCAACAAATGTTAAATTATTGCTTTATAAATCATTATTTTTCTCCCACTTAACGTATTGCCACCTTGTTTGGGGAACGTCAACATTTACCAATATTGATAAACTTTTTATGTTGCAAAAGAAAATATTGAGATATATATGTAACGTGCCACGCGACTTTCATACCGCTGATTTATTTAAGAACTTTAAAAAAATCACTAGTCACAATTTATATCAGTATCGGCTTTCTACTAGTTATAAAAGTAAAAAAAATAAGAGGTACATGTCTTTTGGAAAACCTTGCGTCGCTGAGGAAAGCTTCTCCTCCGTATCCTACCCGTAACCCAGAGAAATGGAAGATGGTCACGCAGCGAACAAATTATGGCTCTCAAATGTTAAGCTCCACACTCCCGCATTTGTTAAACAACCTTAACAGCAATAACATTGATCTAGAAAATCTAACCTTTAGAGACTTGCGCTTGTTATATGCTTGTACATGATCCCTTTCTCTCTTAACATTTGCAAAAGGTGCTTTTAGTTTTTGTGTACTGATTTGTAACATCATTGCCTCTAGCACGTTATTATGTTGTTTTTTGTTTGTTTTCCCGCATGCTTCCGCTGTCCATTGTAGGGGCCCAGGGACTCGTCAAGCTGCTTACTGCAGCTTTTTTTCTTGGGCCCCACCATCATAAAGGATGGAAATAAAGCATTATTATTATTATTATTATTATTATTATTACTACAACTATTTTTTGTTGTCGTTGTTGTTGTAAATCGCTTTGCATTCGAACATGAGACGCCTTTGTTTCTAAAATCTTAGAGCAGACCCTTTACCAACCTGCGTTTTATTATTATTATTTTTTTTTACTTTTAGGACTTACGCGTTACTGCGCAATTTGATAGTGAGAAGCGAAATCCTGAAACACACGAAAAAACACAGGCTCCAACATAACCTCAGAAAAGTTTTGCGTTTGTGCACTCGATTATCGGTGCGCAACATGTTTTCGAACTTCGCAGAACATTTTTTTAATACATAGTTGTATTATTATTTTCGACTAACGTTTATGGACGGTATTGAAGCAGACAAAGTTCTACAGAAATCCTGTTGTCATATCACCTCTTCCGGTGGCGCTGCTTTCGGTGTGGCGCACACACAGACGTTTCACTCCACGCGAACCTCGTTTCTGCGCATTTGCAATGCCTACATATCCTGTGTGGACAGACGCGGAGATTTGTCTGTAAACGCCTTTTTTGTCTATATTCAGAATTCCCTTTGAAACAAACGTCGCGAGTTATCACGGTAAAATTTGACGTCCCCCCGTCACCGGTCACCTACACGGCGGGCGAGTGTACCAAATTGGGTATTTGGTGGGTATCGAAGTGCAAGGAGGAGCGCGCCAATTAAAGGGTGGCATATAGAGAACGCTCATGGAACGCGCGGGCGATGACGAGATAACCAAGCACGATCGAGCCGCCATTGGTCGAGGTTGGGGGGAAACAAAAAGCAGGTGGGAAAATTTAGTGGGTAAACGAGGTGCGCAAGGAGCGGACGAACTTGCACGTCTTATACACTCACAGGCAGCTAGGCAGGGCGTGCCGCGTCCTGTGCGTCTCATTATCGGCTCGGAACCAATCAGACTGTGGCATCAGCCTATGAGAACACCAAGGAACGAATCGCGAAAAAAAAGGTGTAAACATTAAGTGTGACGCCTTGATTTTTCTTAGCGTGTCAGTGACTAGAGCGAGCCTCGTTCTTATCTGATTATGCCCTTCACCCCCTTCTCCAGATTAGAGCCGACCCTACGTGACTCGTTTATTTAAATTAGCTCAAATATCACCTATATCGCGAGGTACTGAAAATAGTTGTTACTTTTACAGGTTAAATTGCACTCTTTTCTCTAATAAAGTATTGTATTATGTTGTTCATGCTTAGGGATGAAAATCAATTAAAAAATGTTTTATTTATTATTTAGTAGCTAAGTTGCATATTTTCTTGTTCATTTACGGCTGTGTAAAATATCATATTAACTTTATATCTACTAAAAGAAAACAAACAAACAAAAAAACATCGCTGATTAGGGACCACAAGTTTTCACAGAAAAAAAAAAAAAGGTTTGATGTAGCACGTTGAATTTATAAAAATAAAAAAACAAATAGCCACTGGAGATTCAAAGTAAATTGGTTGATGTAAAAGGTGCCCACTGATTGCCCTTTTGCAAAATCAAAACTTATTATAAGCTCTATAATCCTTACTCAACTGTTCGAGCAATCTCTTGATACAGGTTCTGTACTGTACATGAGGATTGTAGGGTCGGGAATCCGATTCCTTAGCATAATTCAGGAGACCCCCCCCCCCCCCCCCCCCCCCCAAGCATTGTCCGAATAACTTCCGAACCGTATCACTAACCAGCATGCCATGTAAAATCATTCAACATGTCATTTACTTGCATCTTGAAAACTTTTTACAGTCCAATTCTTTTTTTTTTAATGCAGCACAGCACGGATTTCGCAAAATATTTTCATGCGAGACTCAGTTTTTGTGTTTCACACATGATATTCATTCCATCCTTGATCGTGGATCTCTAGCGGACTGCATATTCCTCGATTTTTTAAAAGCATTCGATAAAGTAACACACAAACTACTTTTCCTGCAACTGAGTAAACTTAACTTAGACCCCAATGTACTTCCGTAATTGCATTTTTCCACAATAACCGGTCTCAGTTTGTAACAACTAGTAAAACTAGTTCTCATCGTTCTCCAGTTGGCTCAGGTGTACCCATTGTTCCGTCCTGGGTTGTCTCCTCTTTCTTATTAATATGAATGATTTGCCAACTAACATATGTTCATATGTGGGTCTTTTTTGCCGATGACTGTGTGGTTTATCATGAAATTTACTATGAGTCTGACGTCCATCTTCTCCAGTCTGATATTTACCGCGTGTTCACTAACAAGTGCAAATATATCAGTGTTTCTCGTCGTGATACAGAATGTTCCTCTTGTCATCTAAATAACCACTTTCTTGAAGCCGTATCATCGTATAAATATCTGCACTCTAAAAAAAGTCTGTGCGTCTACTTTCACGCAAAACACTCTGAGAGCCAATCAGCGAAACTTACGGAGGCAGCTCAGCGAATGACGATGCCAAAACATATGTTTAGACCAAAAAACGCAGTCTGAGTTGTGACATGAAGCAAAGCAAAACGTCACGCTTGCATTGCTTAATGTCACAACTCAGAGAGCGTTTTTTGGTCTAAACAGATGTTTTGGCATCGCCATTCGCTGAGCTGCCTCCGTAAGTTGCGCTGATTGGCTCTCCGAGTGTTGTGCGGGAAAGTAGACGCACAGACTTTTTTTAGAGTGTGGGCGTGCATGTGTCTTCTAACTTGTCCTGGAAGCTTCACATCGACTATGTTGTAAATAATGCGAATCGCATGCTAGGCTATCTCCGGAGAATCTTTTACCTTGCGCCCGTTTCATTAAATTTACTACTTTATAAAACATTAGCTCGCGCTAAATTGGAATATGCAGCCTCCGTTTGGGATCCCGGTCAGGAATCTCTTATTTCAGAATTAGAATCTGTTTAAAACCCTGCATCTCGTTTTATAGTTTCCAACTACCACAGTACATCTGGTGTGAATGCAATGAAATCATGCTTATCATTACCTCTCCTTTCGCAGCGTATCAAATCGTTTCTTCTATGTTAGTTTTATAATATTTATCATAACAACCCGATTCTGACTGAAAGGCTACTAACAGCACTTCATTACGTTTCAGCACGCATCGATCAGCATCCAAAAGCTGGCATTCCATCTAGTCGCACGAAACATTTTCATGACTCTTTTATTCCTAGCACCTCAACAATGTCGAAACACCTTCCCGGAGCCAACGCCGAAATCCCTGACTGCATGCGTTTTAGAACTGCCATAGCTAATCTTCTCTTATAAAGAGCCCTAGCAACTGTGTAATATTTTTTTTTTTGCTCTATTCGCTCTTTCTCGCGTGAGTTGAGACGTGGGAGCGCCACCTGCTCCGGCAACCGGAAAGCGCCCTTTCGGACTTCCGGTACGGGCGGGCGTAGGCACTTCGGAAGGCTTGTTTGGCTGCCCTGTCGATCCCGTTCGCAGAGTTTTATCTTCGATTGCGTTGGTTTAAACGAATGTATGGGTGATCCAGAGCAACTACCGCGTCTGGGCCCCTGCTGTGTAGTTCCTGGATGCAGCAAGCGTTCAGGGGCGAACTTGCTGTCCGCAATTCGGTCTTTTCGGTTTCCGAAGGATCCTTCACGAAGAGCAGCTTGGGTACAGGCCGTTCGACGGGACAAGTGGCTGCCGAACGACAGGAGTGTAATATGTTCGACACATTTTATTAAAGGTAAGGCACACGAATTTGTTGTACCTATGTTTAGGATATTAAAAACAAAATGCTGTCCCGATAACTCTCGAGGGTTGCGCAGACAGGCTGCCCCGAAAACTTTTGTGGGTTACGCGAGATATTAGGTCCGGTCGAAGCGGTGTTGGGCATTTTAGAACTGTTTGACGCGCCGATTGGTGTTTCTTTGAGGGTTTAGGATTCATGTATAGCGAGACGCGACAGCGAACGATGAAACGAAGCCCGTGGTCACGCAAATCGAACGTTGTGCGCGCGAGCTACAGATTGCCGGGCGATTGGCAAACCAGTCCCGCGTTCTACGATAGCACCTTGCTCTACTTTTTTTTTAGGCAGTGTAATAAGAAAATTAAAAAGTAGAACTCCCTCATTGCTACATATATATCCGCCCAAAGCAAGTTCGCGGATATGACTCAATAAACAACTTGCAGCTGTCTGACCGTTAGAAAAATAGTAAGATCAGATTTCCTATTTCTAAAACAAGCGAGCCGGATAATATTGAATGTGTCATTTTTATTTACCTACTGCATAGTGAAGTGTTGGCAGCTGCGAATTGACTCATGAAAGCATGTATTCATTTTTCATCATCTGACACTCAAAAACCACTGTTACACAGGTTTTGTTTTCTTCTATTGCAGGCTGTCCGTCTCAAGACCCAACACATCCCGACTATGTGCCCTCGATTTTCGCCTTCAAGGCTCAGACAGATGTGTCGAGGAAGATAGCTCGTCACGGTCGACTCCAGGAACGAGTGAAACGACAAAATGAGCAAGCCCAGTCAAGAGACGACGCTGCTACTGCCAAGGGATCCAAACTTAGCCATGAGGAACTTCCCTGCACCGAAGATGCAGCAACAGCTGATGCAGGTGCCAACACCGAAATGACAGGAGGCCAAGTTGAGGTTCTGCTGCAAGAAAATGAGAGCCTCAAGAAGCAAGTGTGCGACCTTAAAAATGAGCTCGCGAAGACAACTGAAACTTTGAGGGGCTTCAAAGCATCCAATGAGAACCTCAAAAGAAGCCTTGAGAGCAACACCCCCACGAAAGATGCTCTTAAAGATGACCTTCGTGTAAAGTTCTACACTGGTCTCATGTCGCGGAATATGTTCCATGCTCTTCTAAGCTTTATCTTATCGTTTTGGAAACCCGACACACAGACCTTCCTCGAGCCAGAGGAGCAACTTGTGATGGTTTTAATGAGGTTAAGACTTGGGCTGCTGACCGAGGACCTGGCATGCCGTTTCCGGATTTCAGCATCTAGTGTGAGTGTAATTTTTCACAGGTGGTTGGACGTTCTCGCGTGCAATTTGGGGAACCTCTTGATTTGGCCATCACGAAGAGCTATCCGCTGCAACCTTCCAGAGGTCTTCAGTGACCCCATTTTTAAGGACGTTAGGTGCACAGTGGACTGTTCAGAAAGCTTTATTCACAAGCCATCCTTCATGTCTGCCAGGAGCCAGACATTCTCCCAGTACAAACACCATAACACTGTTAAGTTCTTAGTAGCTGTCTCTCCAGCAGGTTCCATAACGTTCATCTCAAAGGCTTGGGGTGGGCGTGTATCCGACAAGGAACTCACTTCAAAATGCGGACTTCTGGACAAGATTGAGGAGGGCGACGTCATCTTGGCTGACAGAGGCTTCAAGTGTGAGGAACTCTTCGCAGCCAAGGGTGCCTCAGTGCTGATGCCGTCTTTCACCAAGGGGAAGAAGCAGCTGTCGGGCGAGGAAGTGGCCCTGTCAAGGAAGCTTTCCCGGGCCCGCATTCATGTCGAACGTACCATTCAGAGACTGAAGACATTTCGCATCTTTCAAATGGTCCTCCCCATCTCGTACGTAAAGAAGGTTGGGGACGTAGGGCTGAGCACCATTGATAAGACCCTGATTGTGTGCTCCGCACTGGTGAACCTGCAAAGCCCCCTCATCGCAGGAGTGGGCCAGAATGACCGATAAATCTGGCATAACGTGGTTTGCAGTGGTGTGTATCGCATTTTCCGGGCTACAGTCCATGGAATATACGTGTTCAAAAGTTAAGGCTGTGCGGACTGTCGACGCCTCCAGACTACACAGGAATTTTGTTTTTCAAGATTGTTTATTATGATGAGACGCAACGGATTTTGTGAATGAGATTATGTTGATATATGTATAATACAAGCTTGTTTGTGAGCTAAGAAAGGTTCGGGGTACACCTAAGCACTTCTTACGAGTTTTGAATGCGAAAGTAAGAGTGCCGTTCCTCCGCTCTTTTATTTCATGTACAGCATACTTGCGTCGACGGTTGAATGCGCACGCTTCGCTTGCCACGCTGACTTTGGGTGTGGAGTGGTGGAGGTGCTAATTGAAAGTGACGCGCGGCGGCTTTGTATCACTGCCATTTTGCGTGGCTTTCTGCGTGGTTTCAAAACTGGGATGCCTCAGATCGCTGCTTCGAGAATTTATCTGAAGTATGGCGCGGCTGATGACGTCGGATCGCTCCATGGGACAGTTATTGCTTTCGCATTAAAAGCAGACATCTGTCAGTGTGCGCCGTGTATGAGATGTTTGTGTTGACTAAGCACCAGGTGCGTATTATGCACGGCGTGCGGACTATCTAAGCAAAAACTTTTATTTTTGAACCCAAATTTGCCCTTTGTGTTATGTACTGTGGTCTGGAGCCTGAAGATAAAAGTCATGCAGCATATCTAGTAATTCCCGGTGTGTCTTGCATTGTTGAAATTTGGTATTTGCACACTGAAAGAGTATGGACGTGAATAATCATTCATAAAAAAACTAATTCATGTGATCAGGAAAACTACCCGTCATATGTTCCTACATTCCTGGCATGCAAACAAATCTTGATGCGCACACGGCTTTAGCAGCATGTGCCGAGTGGCTGAGAAATTTGTGCGCAAGCTGCTTTCGAGCGAGGAAAAAAAAGCTTCGCTGTATTGTCTTGCGTAACATGCTGTAGTAAAAGATTTCTTAAAAGCATGGCATTTATCAGGTTTGCCATGCTTTTCTGTTACGGAAATGGTCCTGATTCATCGGTCCAGAGGACACTAGGAAGAAGAAATAATTGTAGCAGTGCACGAACAGCTGGAATAAGTGTGATGAGTCCTAAGGGACATAATTCGAAGGAGATTAGAGTTAAGATGCGAAATACAAGCTAATGGGTTTTTATTGCCCTCTGGTATGATATTCGACTATTATGACTCAGAACTAGCAATGAGTGCCAATGCATTCAGTCAGGTTTCTGCAAGCATTTGTTTGTATTTTTTACTTCCTTGGTGATTGGTCTGCTTGTGCCTTGTAATCGGGTCGATCTACAGAACTGCTGGCGAAAAAGAAATCTCGTTTGGTCGGGTCAAGAGCACTCCCAATGTCACTATTCGCTTGTGCCGTATTCTTCAATATTTACAAAGATCAGATTTCAGATTGTAGTGAATGCTGGAAAGGCTAGTATTAGACAAAAGCAAACAAGATGGGCATAATGTCATATGTGAAATGCGTAAATGAAAGGTTTACATATCATTGGGGTGAATAAAGCTCACAAACAAATGTTGCAAGGGGAAGGTCTCGGATTCTCCTTTATTACATTGAACAAATAAAGCATCACTGCAGTTTAGAGGTGTGGATTTAAATGACACACAGTTGGAATTGACCCTTTCACGCTTGAATTTCGCTTTAGTTAAAGATATCTATTGTAGCTTCGAAAAAAAAATTTAATGCAAAAATCCACAATTCAGTATATTATCTTTTACAACAAACAAAAACAGCACAAGAACATTAAAACTGGCAAAGCAGCATTTTCAAGCATTCTGAAGTGTCCATGGTCATGTTAGAATGCTCCGGTACTACTACTTGCCGGGCCCTAGCCAACTTCATCCATGGGTTGTCTCGAATAGTCAAAATTCTTAAAACCTGCAGTTCACAATGTTTCTGTAATTTTTCATTGGAGGCGCGAGATGGTAGGTACCCCATGCTTGCAACAAGCACAGTCGTGGAGGCACTGAATAGCTCCACGCAAGTAGGCATTCATTTCTGAGGAGTGCCGTCTCCTGGCTTACTTTCGATTTACTGGTGATGCCAAAACTCGTCGCAAGGCAGACGGGGAGCCCACCAATGCAAACAAACTGCTGTTATTACCTGTGTCTTTGCCGCTGTTGTCTGAGCAAAGGGAAGAGGAGCATTTAGGAAAGAGTCAAGCTTGGAGGTCATTCGTGATAGGAGAGGATGGTAGAAATTATAATAGTTATGAGCCATTCTTACCGTGCTTTGAAATATTGTTGTATTGCTACATTCCTTTTTATACTTACTCTTTGTGACAAGGTCGCACATGATAACGGCAGTTTGTTTGCGTTGATGGGCTCACTCTGTCTGCTTCACGTGGACGAGACCCGATGTCAGCACCAATTCAGATGTAAGCCACCAGTCAAGCACTCCTCAGAAAAGAAAGGCCGGCTGGCATGGAGCTGTCTAGTATCTGCATGACTGTGCATGTGTCTTTCAGAGGATCAAACATTTGCATTCTCATCCAACAGACAAGATAAGAAATCTTTAAATAAATTGTGACAAAGTGTGCACTAAATATAAACATTTTCGGGTAGGCTGTGAGCAGTCTAGGACAAAAAAAAAAAACAAAAAAACATTCAGCTCATTACATCTCTTCGGCATAACAGTGAAAAGAGTTCACTTAAAATGAGGCGAGACTCAACAAGTGTTGCTTCATCGGTAGTGAAAATGTTAGCCTAAATACTTCATTCAAAACGAGATCACTGCAGTGTATAAAGATAAATCCCTAAACTTCCTCAATGCAGTCTTGACAATCTGAGCAGATCCAGATCTTGGGCCTCCGTTTCAGCCCCAGGCACTTCAAATGAGCTACTGCTCCACATGCACTGCACTGCACTACAGCGCCAGTTTTCGCTCCTTTGCAGATGCAGGACTTCTTGGCCCTTTCAAGTTTCTTTTGCAAGTCCCTGGAGCGAAACTCTAAAAACACATGGCTAAAAAAAAATAGCTCTGCCTTTCCAACTGCTGTATCCCAGAAAATATTGTTGAAATGTATCATCTCAACGCTAATGTCGACTCCGGTGTACACCACAAAAAAAGCTCTCTCTACACCACTCAGCGCCATCTGCGCCTGCACCTGCGCATAATGGTCGTGAGTGGCTTCAAGCTGCAGATCCTTTGTCAAATAAGACGGCAGCTTAGCGTCAGGGTCTCGCAGCTTCTTGCCCTTGCACGTAGAGGGGCACTTGATCTCTAAGACTGCTTTAGTGCAGCACGAGCAGGTGACTAGACCGTCAGGCGAAGCTCCCAGGAACGGCTTCTCGGGACAGACAAAGAGGCCTGTGTTCTCAACTTTAAAGTCCCTGTGATTTCGTTCCTCGGATAAGACGAACGCCCTCCGAGCATCACCCTCACTCGCCTTTCCATGTCTTAGACTTGGTACATCGGGAGCCTTGACATACCCCATGATCTCGGACACAATACCTTCCTGTCCATTGCGGCACGAAAGTACCCTCCCAAGGATTGATGCAGTTATCCTTCCCTGCCTTTGCTCAAACCAGGTTCCAGAATGGGCCTGACCACGCGTGCCCACCTCGATTTGCCCACATTGCAGGGTAGTCAGTTTCAAACCCTGAGCTGCCACTTGATCATGAGGGGTGTACATCTGTACAACGGAGTCCGGAAACATGACACTGGGAGCTGCAAGGTCTTGTCCCTCCGAGTCGCTGCAAGTATCTGTATCCTCGCTGTCTGTCAGTGAAGAAAGCAGCAGGGTGCTAGGAGCTATTTCCTAAAAAAAGAAAAAAACATCCTTAATGCACACTGCTGGCCACTAGAAACATGATGAACACTAGTGGCGTAAAACAACAGCACCGGCCAGGGTCCCCGGGACCGGGGGAAGGGGGGGGGGGCAGTGGGGGTCAAAGACTGGATTGAACAATACGAGAGTGTCGCCCGCCACATTGGGTGGACAGACAACCAGCTCCTGCAGAACCTATACTTCTCGTGGAAGCAACTGCCGGCGCTGGTCTGAGAACCATGGATCCTCCTTAACGTCATGGGAAGTTTGCAAGACCAAGCTAAAGCGCGCATCCGTCAGCCAACATCAACGAAAGAAAGCCGCATTCTTGATTCTGTCCAGGACACTGCCCCAATGAGAGCGCCACCGCACTCGTGGAGGATGTTTTGCGCTTGATCGAGCGCCCACGCCCACGCCGACCTTGATGCTACAGAAGACAAGAACCTAAGAATCGTATACGCCTCACGTGAGGGACAACGCCTTTGGCAGCCTTGTCCGCAACCCCCCAACAACAGTCGAAGTGTTCATATCACTGAGGCTTCCAACATGGAATGTGCACTGCATGCCCGATCCTGCCACTATGAACAACTTCCCGGCGTCTCGACACTCGAGTTGTCCAGCTACTACTTCGACGCCAGCCTCCCAGGCATCCACGACATCACCCACGACGTTGTCTGGGAGGAGATCAGGAAGCTACTTCCTGCCATCAGTTGCCCGGCTTTTGTTTTGATTGCCGAGATTGTTTCGGAACAAGTTTGACAGGTATTTCAACCGAGACTTCTGCGAGCGAAGCGGCATCTGACAAACCAAGGGCAACTTACGCCACAATGGCACGACGACCGCCACCGGCTGCCCCTTAGTATTCAATGCCAATTCAATGAGACACTCTAATGCCGATGCATTCCCGACATCGTGTGTAGGACTGTGCTCAACAAAGTACACCGAGGAAAACGTAGGTGATGCAAATGTGCGATTGAAAACCACTTTGCTACCACTGCATGAAGCCGACCATGTCTACCAAAGCAGCCCGTACCAATGAATTGGTCGGCGAGGGTTCGTGCCAAACGACCCTCGATTACGTCTCGAGGAGCGACCACAGGAGATTAAGGATTACCTTCGGCGACCTTTGTCCCTGATGCCGAAGGTGCTGAATCGAAGATTC